CCATTGAGACAATTGCGTTAACTGAAAACCAAAAGTTCGAAGTGTGTGACCTCAAGCCCCGTTCAGAGCAGAAGTAACGCCTCCTTCCAACGCGAAAGGAGCCACTTCACGGTCAACCCTCAAGCATGTGCATGCCCTGGTCAAAAACGGTCTCCTTTTTGGTCACCGAACGAGCTAAAACCACGGGTCACGTGGATTCTCCAGGTCTCCCCTCCGTTGGCCAACACATCTGTGAAGGGCACTCGTGGTGCCCACCACAAGTCCAATCCCTCCCCATCGATGCCGCCATGAGAGCTCTTCCAATGGGTTCCCCACTGGGAAAGAAAGCCAAGTGATGAAAACATGACCAATCAGGGTGTGCTTCTCAGTTGGAAAGAACATATCTGCATGTCCACGTGGTTTTATTGGTGTCCTTCAAACTCGCCGCACCTTCCTCTTCATTCCGCAGTTCATAGACTCCCGTCGTGTCTCATCTCGATGGGTAGCCGAACGTGTCGGTGTTGCGTCGCACGGTGTCGGTCTCGGTTCTCGCGGCGCGCCTCACGGTTGTGCCAAAAGGCACCATGGAGGTGAATGAAAACGCAAGGGCCTTCCACTTCCATCAAATCCACCTGCGCGAATGGCCGCGCGGTGCGGCGAAGGGCCGCGCTTTTGGTTTGGGGCCGCGCTGGGCAAAGCAAAACCACGTTTTTCACGGGGGGTCGGGGAGGTCAGCAGAGTGATTTGAGGCTGAAGAATGCCAAATGTATCCAAATGTTTGGTGCGAATCAGATCCTCTGCGTTCCAGTTCACCTTCACAGTGGCATCTGTTCAGTCCAGTTGCATCCTGATCTGGGACCCACCAGAGGGATAGATTCAAAGGATGTGTCTTCCCTGACAAGGGGAAGGATAGATCAGTAAATATCTGATTTCGCCCAGCTTCGGAATATCTGATGGTTTTCTCCCGAGAAAACCGAGATTCATGGTGAACTCGCATGGACACGGCACCGTCGATGGAAATTAAAGGTATTTGGCAATTGGGCACCATTTTGGATGGCTTTGCGACCTCTTGAGACTTTTGAGCTGGAAGTGCGAAAACCAAGGATACCTTCTGAACCATTAGAGGTGACCTGCATACATTCTGAACCAAGGATTTCCCCTCACAAAAGGACACCTGCTCCATGGAAGAACCCAGATTTATGACATCTTCCGGCGCATGCGTGGGGTTTTTGAACCCCCGAAACAACCTTCCAAATTGATCGGGGAAGCAAGTTTGCAAAGATCATCGCACCCCGGCCTTGCCCGTGATGCCGGCACCCCTGCAGGATGGAAGCCAAGTTGAATTGACGTCATGCACCATGAAGCAGTCGAACAATCCCAACTTTGTGTTCGTGTTTCGCCTGAATCCCTTAAAACCCAGGACATCCCAGGACCAAATGAAAGCTGTTTCACCTAACCCAAGACCGAACCACCAACCGAACATCAAAACATCGCCGCCTTGGATTCTGACCCTCGACGGTTGGGGCAGGACAGTCCCCCACAAGCCACTTCCTGCGTTTCCCCTCCTTTGGAAGAGGATGGCTCCACCGTGCTCCACCTGTTTGGTCGAAAAAATGGTCATCCAAGGGAGTCATCGATCTGGACAGGACCCACACTGTCGACACGGTCTGACGACACGCCGAACCCTGCGCATTCCCGGGACACCTCCTCCCACGCGCAGCGTGCGCCCAGCGGAGCTCGAACTACGCCAAGGCACGAGCTCTCCTCGACATACCCGAAGCAGTTTTGAAGGTGGTGGTAGCGTGCCTCTTGTAGAACCACCTCAGCAAAATTCCATTGTGGAGCCGTTGTTGCAAGAGATCAATGCCACAAGTTCAGCGACAAACCAATCTTTGTGTTTCGTCTGCGACATGTGTCCTACATGTCTAATACACACCAAATATCAAAGAACTTGTTGTTCATGGGCTGTTTGGGGCGCAGAAACGGCCAGCTGAGACGAACATCTCTATGACTGTCCCGACCAAGCTTCGTTGGAGCCTCGGCCTGCGTTCTCCCCAAACCGTGTATGTACACATGTCAATATATACCCCTAAGACTTTAAGAATCATGGACTCTCAAAGGTGCTGGCTTTTGAGGTCCCAACAAAACATGGTCAAAACCGTCCATGGATGAAGGGATGGTTAAGGATACATATACCATATACAATATAGATAATATGCAACATATAATATATACAATATATATTATATGAACCATATATGATACTCAATATATATATATATAACATAGCAAAATATAATATGTATATATATATATCAGATATATAACTATAATATAACATATAATCTAATCTGATCCAAGCTAGCATAATACAATATAAAATATAAGTTAATACAATATACATATACCCTGAGTGTCCAGGGGCATACTTTGTTTAGTCTTGAGAGTGAGAGTGAACTTAGCCGTTACGGGCTAAACTTTGGACGCACCTCAGGATGGGCGGCCTTGAGGGCTCAAGTCAAACCCGTCAACCATGCCAATCCAAGTGTTTCACAATCGACCGATCCAGATTCCATACGATCATAAACTGTTGAATGCATTATCAACTCTGTGTGTTCGAATGCCGCCTGCGACGTGATGTGCCATGCGTCGTCTTTCCCTTCTTTTGACTGGAATCTTGGAAGCAACCACTCCATAAGCGTGATACATCACGTCTCGACTTATCGCGCATGGAACCCCCCTGAGGATTGGTGGTGATGTTTCTCACATTTCCACATCATGAGCGCTTTTGGTGTGGCACCTGGAAATGGAATGAATGTTGTTCTTTAAAGGACCCAGAAGTGGAGGAACATCGTTTTGCCTTCTTTCTTCAGCCATGTGATGTACATGGGTGCTCATTCGCTCCACCAGTTTTCGCCCGGAGCAAACGCCTCGCGCCTCCACGTTCTCCGGTGTCAACGTCAAGGGTGGTCCCTTCACCGCCCTCAGCACAGTTGAGCCCGCTCCCGCGCGGGCGCCCGACCAACTGCTGCCCACCTGGGAGGGGAACGAGGCGAAGCGGCAAAACGAATCGCCCGGTGAAAGCTAGGGCTTTAGGGTGATGAACAGATATGAACAGTCTATGTCCACAGACAGGCTTCGAGCTGAAAGTCTTCTCTTTAGGGACACATATCTAGGGGTGGAACTCTTCTTTTGGCCCCCTCCTTCGGTTCGTGCACCGGGCGTGGTCAACACCTTCGGTCTTTTCGCACAGCTGCATGACAAAATATCTCATCAAGGTGGTGTAACATCCTGGAGTGACAAAGGGTAGTTTCTTGTCTCTAAATGAGTGAATGTTCTGGGCATCCCTATCCTCCCATGGGCACTCGAAACTATTGGATGATGGTAGTAGCTTGAATGTTCTCAAGACATCTTCCCCTTTTGTGGGCAACATTCAGCCGCTTACCGGTTTTTGGGCCGACGAGCCTCTGCTTTTGCTTCGACTTTGACTGCTGTTCTTGGTTCTGTCACAGTGGTCCACCTTGATCCTACCTGGAAAAAGTTCAGGGCCCACCTGTGTTTCTCGTAGAAAACAACTCCCGACAGGGGTGAAGACTCTTCCACGAGTCGGGGTGAAGACTCCTTCGGATCTCCGGGAATGTTGTCAGGTGAAGAAAGACTTCCCGTGGTGATGGAGGCCTGCAGTGATAGAGGCCGTAAATTTGGGGGAACCAGCTTGCAAGCGTCTGGGTGCTTGGAATCAAGGTGCATCCTTCCCCCCCCAAAAAAAATAGTGGGAGTTTGAATGTATACATGAACCATGCAATGAACACCCATCGACTACCATGCTTATCGTCATCCATTGGACCCTTCTGCGGGGCTGGTACCCTTGGGTTTCCCAGCAGGGCCCTAAGGAAGAGAATCCTTCACAACACACCGTTGTGGGGGGGAGGTCTATGGCTATGGTGCGAAAAGGTGGTCAAAGGCGGATTGGTCCCACCAAAGGGCCTGGACCCTCAGCAATCGGTGCGTTCCAAGCAGCGAAGGCAAGCCTGAAGGAGCACCAGGCGCCCAAGATGAGCGCAGCAAGGATTCTTCGAGCCATGGCGGGGTCCAATTACTCCGAGTGGTGTGTCAAAAGCTCCAGCAAGACTGTTCACCTAAGGCGCTGCTCATTTGAGGCGCTATGCTCATCACCTTTATCACCTCTGGTGTTTTTGGATGGGCAAGCTCTGCATGCTGCGCCACTGCAAGATCTTGGTGGAAAGCATGAACATCTTCAGCGCTTCAGCGGCCACACGGCAGAAGAACGTTGTCAGTTAGGGGTCATGACCCGAAACCAACATCACAAAGCGTTGAAACACTGGTCCTAAAAGAAAAAAGAACTCTCCCGCGATGGTGTCAGAATTTTGTCTTATCTCCGGGGGATGGGGTATCGGGTCGTTTGGTCGTTCCATCCGCGTGGCTTGGTCAACGACGACCCACAGACGAGTCGAGTTCTCCCGTTCTGACCGAGTCGAGTTCGGCCACACGAATCGTGTTCGCCCCACATCGCCGGAAGCGGCCGGATTTCTACAAATGCCCCGTTGATCATGAAAAGGTGCAGTTCCTTTCTCTCTGATAGGTGGCTTTTTCCATGTCTTCATGGTTTCACTGCTTGTTTCACCAGCAAGCCCAGCTCCTCCCTCACATCGGCCTTTGGGGACGGGCCTCCAAATGCTCGGCCTGGGACGGACCAGTCCGCGCTCCGCGACACGAGAACCGCCGCCGATGAAGACCGTCGGTTCTCGGATGGTCACGCTGAAAACAAACAAGTTGTCCCCAAATAGATGACCGGTTGGCACGGTTTCCTGTCTACATGTTCTACGTGGGGACGAAATTCTATCTATGACAGGGGGTCTCTATACTACCCCCTGGAAGACTAACATAGACCTGAAAGACAGTGGTTGGTAGAGGATAACAATCTTCCAGGGGGGCCAAGACCACAGGGTTCGTGTGAGTTTTCACGAGGGTAACTGGTGCAACGAAATGCGAAGAAAGGGTTGGGTGCCTGGATCCAGTCCGCAATCGGGGGCGAAACTTCCGAAACTTCCCTGTGTATATTGGGTATATCATATCCCATTCCCTGTAACAGTGGATGATGATGGTTCAGTTGCAGGCCTTGTTCAAAAATAGTGATCATTGTTCACCGACCGTTACAGATATATACATATATCCGCCGACCCCGGCCGACGCAAGGGGGAGCGCGCCAGGGAATAATGATAGATCCGCCAGAACTCAATCGTTTGGAGCAGAACTCAATGGGTTAAATCCGTGGCGAAGGGGTGATTTCAGATGCTTTTGGGAGGCTGGAAAGCTTTTGGCAGGCTGTTCGTGGAAGCTTTGTGGGAGGCTGGTTAGTGGTGGAAAATGCTACGAAAGTGTTTTTTTCTAGGGATCCAGACGCAACGTTTGGCCCCGAATGTGCGAGCAGTTGAGTCTGTTTTGGAGTAGTTTTTGGTGCAGGTGCCTGTGAATCTCTTGTGGTAAGGTCTGTGCCGGTGCTCAGGTTCACAGGGTACGGATGGGCCAGAATGTACTAGTTTTTTTTTCTAGGGATTCAGAGGCGGCGTTAGGCAGCCAAAGTGCGACCATGGGAGGCTCGTTTTGGACTAGAATTAGATTGGGAAAAGCTGTGGCGGGACCAGGTGTTCGGGGCCAAAGTGCGACCGTGGGAGGCTTGTTTTGGACCAGAATTAGATTGGGAAAAGCTGTGGCGGGACCAGGTGTTCGGGGTTAAGATGACCGAGACAAATGGACACAAACTTCTTTTTTTCTAGGGATTCAAAGGCGGCGTTAGGCAGCCAAAGTGCGACCATGGGAGGCTTGTTTTGGAGCAGAATTAGATTGGGAAAAGCTGTGGCGGGACCAGGTGTTCGGGGCCAAGATGACCGAGACAAATGGACACAAACTTCTTTTTTTCTAGGGATTCAGAGGCGGCGTTAGGGAGCCAAAGTGGGACCATGGGAGGCTTGTTTTGGAGCAGAATTAGATTGGGAAAAGCTGTGGCGGGACCAGGTGTTCGGGGCCAAAGTGCGACCGTGGGAGGCTTGTTTTGGACCAGAATTAGATTGGGAAAAGCTGTGGCGGGACCAGGTGTTCGGGGCTAAGATGACCGAGACAAATGGACACAAACTTCTTTTTTTCTAGGGATTCAGAGGCGGCGTTAGGCAGCCAAAGTGCGACCATGGGAGGCTCATTTTGGAGCAGAATTAGATTGGGAAAAGCTGTGGCGGGACCAGGTGTTCGGGGCCAAGATGACCGAGACAAATGGACACAAACTTCTTTTTTTCTAGGGATTCAGAGGCGGCGTTAGGGAGTCAAAGTGGGACCATGGGAGGCTTTTTTTGGAGCAGAATTAGATTGGGAAAAGCTGTGGCGGGACCAGGTGTTGATGCCACTCGCCACCACAGCCGGCCATGCCGATCGATGTTTGTCTTCAACGCGGGAATGTTTTAACTGATCCTGCTAAATCCTAACTAGACCATGTCATGTCATCTTATCTGTCGTATTATTAACCATATTGTCTGATTCGATTTTGGCATTGGAGCTGATGAAATCGACCGAAACATGTTGTTTGCAAGGATGATGTTCTAAGTGGAGTGATGTAGGCTCCTCTCGGTCTTCTGTCGGCCATCTTTACAGAGTTGCTAGTGACGTGTTGCCAACCAATGGAGGAAAAGCCGGACCTGAGAATCGGGGTCGGCGGCAGGGGCGGCAGCCCTTAAATATAGTATATACCCTGCTCTAGGTAGAAACTCATTGCTTCATTTGGATAGCTGCCAAGCCCCTCGTGAGGCTTTCACGGTTTTGCGAAACAGGAAGAAAATGGACTGCATGGAGTGCCATCACACCAAAATGAGCGCAATGTAGTGCAATAGGGTCAAGAAAAAGAACTCTTTAGAGTGTTGGTCTTCTCTGCATCTTCTCCCTTGGCCTTGGCCTTGATGCCCAAAGTGGGCTAAAACCTGCGGTCCGCTGTCAGCCAAACGCCGCACAAACTGGAGAAACCACACCTCCTGGCGTGCCCAGTCCGTTAAGACATAACCTCGGTGCAGCAGGTTAGGTATGGCCAGTGGCACCAAATGGCCACCAGAACAGCTCACTGGGAAGTGTCCTATCCCAAAATGGGTCTGTTTTGCGGCAGGCACAAGCAAAGTGGTTCTGTGCAGGTCTTGGACGAAAAGACTGTGCCTTTAAACCAAAACAGAATTTACATGGCTTCTAATTACTGTTCATCCATGAGCTCGCTGACTCGTGGCTGCGTGAGAATAATAAACCAAAACAGAAACGTTCCTTTCCAAGTGCCAGGCCTCTTTCATCCACAGGGACCCAGCCTTGCAATTGGGCAGCCGTTGATGCACCGTTGGGGCCATGAAACTCATGAAAACTCAGAGTTGTATTCCAAGACAGGAGGCCAAATTCGGAATTTGGGGGATGTGAAAAATACCCCCACTTGAGAGAAGCCGGTCATGCGTTCAAGTCATGATTATTCGGAATTGTTTCAAGAATTGAGAGTTCAAAAGGTTGCATCTCAAGCCGGGGCATGTGAAGTTCCCACTCAAATCGCAAAGAAGCAAGCCAGCGTAGAAAGCAGAACAAGGACCCCAGGCTCCATCTGAGAATTGGATGGCTTTGACCGCAAGTCTTCTGCTCCACAGATATATGTGAAACGCCAAGGCCGTTTGAAGGCCACCATATGGACATCAGAACCTCAAAACGCCTGTGACCAGAACCTCTTCCAGTGCTGACCAGGAAGAGAACCCTTTTCTCTCCTTTCTTGGTTCCATGTTATATCATCTTCTCACCGAAAAAAAAAAGAAAAGAATGTTATACAATCAAAGGATATAACAACAAAACGTTCTCTCTACAATACAACATGGTATTTGGTGTTCGGCAGACCGGGAACGGTCGACGGCCCGGCACGACCCACCTGATGTTTCATATTCGGAACCGTCGCGTGGACGTCACGTGGCGTCGACAGGAGGTTTCCTGCAAAATAGTAAGGCACCTGTTACTACTAGCGTGGCACTTGTTTCTACTAGGTCGTCTATTTGGGGATCACGAAACAAGCTGAATTGTCCACCACCCCTCTGAGCGACGAAAATGGGTGTTGTCCTCAGGGAGCAAAAGGCGACAAAGCCGAGAACTCGCCGGTTCGCCCGGGAACTCGCCGCGCCCTAGAGCGACCTTGGAATTGACCCGGGTAGTCGGTCTGCGCCTCACGGGTTCGAGAAAACCAAACGAAACGCCATGCTCCAATATGCTACGACTGAAAGAAACCCCAAACGACCAAACTCATACCGGTAGTATAGACTCTTAATTAATAGCCAATGGGGGTATTGATCAAGACTCTACATCATCCTCACTGCCGGACAATCACGGATGCATAAGGTCAGGATTTGTTGTACTCGCAGACCTCTTCAATCCCTTTGGATCTTCAATGCACCCTCTTCACCATGCAGACCACGGCCATAGCTGAAGATTAGACCAAACAAGTCATCAAGGACTGAGGGTTTATCCAAAAGACTGAGTCAGACGAAGTGCTTGCTGCAAGTCTGCTCTCGTGGAACTGGGAGTCAGACCAACCAGGGAATAACCATCAAACTAAATGAAACAGTGGGTGCTACCCTTTCCGCCTTAATCACCATGGATCATCGCACCCCCACCACACCGTTCGATCCTCATGATCCTCTTGACTCGGGTGGTTTTACCGGGCACCGGATCCATCTGGTCGATACTCTTCAACTTAGATCACTATGTCTGTGCTTGGCTATAACATATAACTCCAATAACTATATATATATATGTTATAGCCAAGCACAGACATAGAGATGATCTAAGTTAAAGTATATATGTGCTTGGCTATAACTATATATACATATGTAACCGCCACGGTTCCAAAGTGGTGCTTCTTCTACTGGAAGATCGGGGTGTTTTTCTGATCCACTGGATGGGACGAGTGGATCACCACCCAACGGAAATCGCTCGTGTTCACTCTCCCACCGCGAAGCCAACGATCTGTCGGACTGGCCCCCACCACATACCAGGGACCAGTAAGGGGGACAAGAAACAAGTAACAAGGACCTTGTGCTGGGCTTAAACTTGACTGTGCTGGTGGTCTATTCTGGGATAGGCTCCCATGCAGTCTTTTGCCGTGGAAAAAAACAGAAGCACGCGCCTGCACTGGCGCTGAAAATCGGGCCTGGTGGATGCAAGAAGGTGTTCAGCCCCTTTCAGGGGGTCCCTGTTGATGGTCATCCTGCTCATCCTGCCCCACCTGTACTGCCTTCATTCAGAAACTGCTTGACTCACAGGCCGCTTGATGGGGGAGAACCCCGGAAAAACCACTCGGCTCAGCAACCAAGCGCCACTGGTCACAAGACAACCAACCACAACAGGGCTGATTGGTGTGTGAGTGTGTGTGCGAGTACTTTTCCAAACTTTGCAGTGCTACTGAAAGATCCAATACTTTGAGACACCCCTTTGTCCCCACCAAGAATCTAGATCCCTCAAGCTCTCACGCTCCGCATCACGAAGTTGCGGCCAAAATCCACCACTCCCACACGTGCACGCACGTGTCTTTTTTCGTGTCTTTGTTCGGTCCACAGCCCAGGCGGCCGCTCCTTGTGGCCTGCGGTGCTCTTTTTGGGACTGGCCATGGTTCAAGAAGGTACACTCCCGCTGTCCCATCAGCCAATCTGTCAGTGAGTTGCTATGCTAGTCTCGGGGGAAAGGAATTCCCAAAGGGAATTGTTGCCCCAATTGCCAATGTTTGATCAACTTGACCTGTGTTGTTATTTTTGGATCCCCTAAAAGATGGATATGGACGGATTACGACACGAAAACCAAAGCATACCAGAACAAGACCTGTGGATTGCCGGCTCCTGTCTCCTGTCCTCTCTCTCCTTCGCCCTGGGACGTTGGACTTCACCCGGTGTCGGGTCTCCCGCGGGGGTCCCAAGCAGCGAACCAGGTCGCCTCGATCCGGCAGCGTTTCGATTCGGCTTGGACCGGAAGCGTTTCGAGCGACCGGAGACCGAGCGGGTCGAAACCCCGGTCTCGCTCCAACGACGACGTCGCTTCCGTGTGGGCCTCTTCCCTCCAAACCGCGGCAACACAAAGACGGAGCACTGACGGATCAGGCACCGACTGATTCCAAAGCCCGAAAAAGATCAAAAGCAGATCCAATAAACTGATGTAAGTCATAGAAGCAAGGCAAAGGGTGCAGAGAGTAGGTTGGGTCAGGTTCAATCTAGAAGTCCATGAAACTCCATTCAAGAAGGGTGTTCCGCTGCCTCTACGCCTCCAGCGCTGCAGACAGCGCAGGCAGCGCTGTGAAGCGCTGGTTGCACGGACGAGGCTGAAGGTATGAACCCGAGGATGGCGGTATAAACCTCGCATGCTCTGTGAGTAGAAGGTCTTACCTAGCAGGTCAGTGAGTTTGCAAGTATACAGACCCCCTGTCATAGATAGAAAGGTAAATCCCCACTAATTACTCTAGAGGCATTAAACATGGAACTCAAAAATGGCTTGGATATGCTTTCCAGTTCTGTGTTTGTCAGAAAGTGTGATGGTAATAAACATGAGAGAGAGAGAGAGAGTAGAACACATATTCTAAAATAATTGGGTTTTAATATTGATTAGAATATATATATATATATATAAACAACATGTTTTTAGTGCATACAGTTTGCTGTAGGGAATTCCCCGTGTTTTCCCCAGTGAAACCCTGTCTAATAAACATGGAAGATATCCACAGTTGAAGCCAGGACCAAGCAAAAACTGGATTACGCAGAAGTGCGTCGCACTTCTTAAAATTTCCATGCTTATTATATGCAATCTTTTGTTTCCCTACCATTCCCCAGCGTGGCCAACCGTGACGCACTTCCATGTTCCCCATTGCCTCCCCTGGCCCTGGTTCCATGTTAAACGCCGGGAGTGTAAACATGTATTGGAAACCGTGCCACTATTTATTTGCGGACCACTATAGTTTTGCGCGGTTTAGGGTGGCCTTTCAATGAAGTGAGCAGGCTGTATGTTTGACATTGGTGGCTAAAGCTGGACCCATGGACATGGCCCAAGCCAAGCGGCCTCGGCCAAGCGGCACCAAGCCGCTCCACCTGCGGGGCTTTGCAAAGAAGCCGCCTGGGTCGGGACGCGCCGTGAAGGGCTTCAAACTAGTGGAGGTGCCAACTGGCCTAGGTGAAGATCTGTACACCTGCTAACCCTGACACAAGTAAAAAACTAGCCCTTGCAGGTGGGGAACTGATCAAATCTTGGGGCACCAAAGCACAAAGCTGCTTCCCCTGCCTGCCGAGGAAGAAGCCCGCTCCTGACGAGAAGCACTGGCTGGCACATGCATGATGTTTGTCAGCTTCAGAACTCTTTTGCACCGCCTAGACTGTGCACATTCTTTTCAATGAGAACGAGAAAACAATGAAAACCAACCCATAAGATGGACGGCTCAGAACTACTATCTCATCTACCCAACAGTGACTCACTCATTGTCATGGTGAGCCCTAGTTCTGAAAAGAACTAAACACGGCATACATCTATACAGCTCCTACCTATTGTCCCTGCACAATATCCTAATGGCATTGAGGCTTGACCCTTCGAGTCAACGGTACGTAGGCGTCAAGGAGAACATGTTGCATGTCTTTTGGATTAGACTGGTTTGTCAAGACTATTGAACTCCATCTTACCACAACCCCTCAAAACACTGCTGGCGACCGGCGGCGACCGGTGCTCCTGCCAGGCAGAACGGTCTCCTTCTTCGCTGAGTCCTTCGGTGTCGAGTTCCGCGCACCGCGCTGCGTGGGGTCTCGAGTTCCACGGTTACGGGGCCGTCGTTGCAGAGCTCCAGTTGCCTCGGCGTGGAGTCGTCGGTCGTCGAACATCGGTCGAAACATGTGTCCAAATAGAAAATGGTGGGATGAACAAACTCTCGCATAGCTAGAAGCCAATGGAGTTATATATATAATTATATCTATATACATGTTGTTGAAATCCAAGCAGTGCAGTCACAATGCTTGTGGGACCCCAAATGGTATTGGGATGTATTGGACCCCAGAAGAACTGGACACTCCAGCCCGACACCATCCGAAACATTCTGCGACTCGCCGCCCAAACTGAGTCGTGCCGCATCATCTCGCCAAAGGCTCCAGTGCCCACATGGCTGTCGCCCAAGAGTTCTCGGCAGGAGCCCACGAAGGACTCGTAAATGGCTTCAGCCTGAAGTGTTGGACATGGGAAGACACACCGCGTGAATGGATTGTAGGATGAGGAAAGGACTGAGTCAATGTTTGAGTTTGGGGTGTATAATGATGAATAGGTTCGACTGGTTTTCAAGTCGATGGCTGTACAGTAAAGTCAAGTTGTTGAGGCTCTTCGTGTGGCTCTGAAGGATTCTTGGCTATGAATTGTAAACCTTTCTGCAGCATGGGGTGTAGTGATGTCCGGCAGCTTTGACTGAGTAGTCTTGGTCTTGCGCAGGAGGTGTATCCTGTGCGTTCCTCGTCCCATGCCTGGATATCAGATTCTTACAGCTCTTGACCCCGCTCCCGAACCTGCTCCGAACCTGCTCCGGACGCTCCGGGAATAGGATACAACCATGCTTCAGTACCTCCTCCAGAACCTTTGACGGAACTTTCTTCGGATCCTGCTCCGATCAGTTCCAAAGGTCTTTAGATCCTGGCTGAAGACCCCTAAGCTTTGCTGTTGCGGAACCTCCTCCGGAGCCTCCTCCAGGACCTGCTCCGGAACCTCTTCCTGAACCTGCTCCTCAGGAACTTTCTCCTGAACCTGAAACTCCTCCGGAACCTGCTACAAGGTCTTTACTATGGCTGAACACCCCCAAGCTTGACTGTTGGGGAACAAAACAAAACCAGGAAAACCGCGACCACCATAAGATTGAATAGCCTGGCCAGCAGTCCCACCCAGAAATATCCCTCCAGCCTCTGATCCGGGCAGCGCGCGATTGAAGTTGGGTTTTAAGCCTCAGATCTCTTAGCGTTGCCACGACAGACTGGGCTTCTGTGTCATACATCTGAGAAAGAAAACGCCCCGATCCCAAAGGCTAGCTCCTCAACCCTCCCATCTAGACCACGAAAACGAAAGGACTCTTGAGAAGGGGGCCCGTAACAACCAAGAAACCCATGCAACATGAGACAGGAATTGACCCAGAAAGAGAATGAGACCAGCCAATTCAGGACATTGCTCCAATTGATCAAGCCACAAGTAGAGTTCTTCAGCGGATAATCTGGATCGATCCCTCCTTCAAAGTTCAGACTTGGTTTCAGAATCAAGACTTCTTGATCGATGGTGGATACAGAGAGTAAGCTATCACAATCTTTGATACCTTTTTCCAACCTGACATAGCTCCCCCCCTCACAAAAACTACAGTATGTTCCCCTCCAGTTCCAGGGGGCAACCGTTGGGTTTCGTGTCCATGCAAGGAACCCTTGAAAGTCGCGAACAAGGTGAACTGGCTCACCACCTGGTCACGTGCGGAAGAAAACGCACGCATTTTGTTGGACAAGAGAGGGAACGGCCTGCCAGGCTGTAGTCAACGGCTGTCACAGTTCTGAGTCACGAAACCATACTGCAGCAACAAACCCTACGGGTCACTTGGACCTCATTGGTCATACAAAAAGAATACTAAATATGATAAAAGGCCCAAGTTTGGGGTCTCAAACAGTCACCGGTCCTTGAAGGATGAACCTTGATAGACCCCGACAAGCCAAACAGTGTGTCTTCGTCAAACATATTCTTCAAGAATCATCAGAGCATTGCATGGAGCTTGAACCAACGGATCAGTTGTGTCAGATTAGCATCACCTTTCCTCTCAGCTGGGGATGCTTTTCCTTTGGGCCGGTTTGAACCATCCTCGATGGAAATCATCCCATCAAAGGGAAGTTTGAACCTTTGGAAGGCTACAGCTAGTCATGTGCAATATTGATGAATAAGGCGCCCCCCCACAAGCTGGAGATGTGAAACACTTCTGCAGAACACATGGTCTTATTATTATTCATCAACCTTTTCCACTACTTAGACCGCTAAGGATCGGTTCTATGGTGTTCTGGCGATTTGGAAAACTGGCACTTGGAGCTGCTGCGGTTTGGGGACAGACTGGAAACGGGCCCCCCAGGAGACAGAGCTGCAGACCAGGAGACAGCAGACCGTAGTTGGCTCCAAGTTGTGGCAAACCCCCAAGTCATGCAAAAGTCGAAGAAGCAGGTTGTCTTTCTATCCGAAGAAATCCTTTCACCAGCCCAAATCAACATAAAGTAACCTCAAGCAACACGATGTCCATCTCCAAAGTGAAAACCCCCTAGAAGAGATTCTTGCCAAACAAACATTCAGCAGTCTCGGGCGGTCTCGGGCGAGGTGGTGCGGTCTCGGGTGAGGTGGTGTGATCATCGCCGGGCATGAGTGCAGAAGATGTTGCTCCACGTCCAGCAGTACTCGCCAGCAGTACCCAGTTTCTTGACGTGCTTGCTAGAGCTCCGAACCGCCAGTCGGCTCACATGAAGCCAGTGATCCATTATGATCCATTGATTGCCAGCAACATGTACAATTTTTGGAGGTCTAAAGGCTTTCTGGGTGTTTCCTTGTTGTCCCACTGACAAGTGTCGAATCCAATTCGCCCAAGCTAGCTTGGCGTACCAGCACATCGAAGCCGTTGTCCAGGACCTGAGGCGAGTCTCGGCCTCCAGCCTCTCGTCCGAACTGGGGATCTGCAAATGAACTCTCAAAACCAACTGGGTTGTAGAGGAAAATGGTCTAAACCACCACGGGGTGAGGCTTCCAGGTCCAATTCTGCGGGGGCATCTGTCCTTTTCCCACAGGTCTTGGGACCGGCTTCCCTCTGAATTCTCCATCCCCGACCTCCATTTCTGTGGAAAAACCACCCACATCACTTCATTCAACCCCCCCGATCACCGTTGGACCGAAATAAAAGAGCTTGGGACTTCGTTCAAAAGCTTCGTTCCAAGCGTTCGAGTTTCTACCCGTTCGGGTTTTTGGTTCAAAGTCACATCCAAAAATAATTGAACCAACAATAACCCATCAGTGGGAGTCAATAACCCATTCGTCAATTTTCATCCCGTGCGAGTCAAAAACCCATGGCCTACCTGTTTCGGGTTGGTGAAAAAATCACCTCCCACCTTGTCGCCTCAAGTTCCCCGGCTTCCACTTCCACGACCGATTCCAAGTCCACCCTCCCATTTCGCACTGGTCGGTGTCTTCCACCGAGAAAGCGGCTGAAGAAGCCCAGCTCTTAGAACCATCCCTGGTGAGGAGGAGGAGGAGGAGGAGAAGGCGGAGGAGGAGGAGGATTTGAATCATGTGTGGTTGGAAAACCACACTAGTGGTTGTCCAAGACTTCTTAGGCTTTGATGAGCTGTCAGAAGATCTCGCCAGCTACTGGGGTTTCCCAGATCCACGAAAGATTCTGCCCGCACCAACATGTCGTGAAGTACCCTCCGGTAATTATGCAACACTCACAGTGTCGGTGGAAGGTATGGCAAACTCCAGTACAAACAGGGGATGTCTCCAAACCATGCATGTTTTATTGAAGGAAGGATGATCCTCATAGAAAACCCTGCATCTACTGGTTAGGTTCATTCTCTGGTGGAAAAATAAGATAGGGGCTTCATAGCGCATCCTGGATCACGTCCTTGGGGTCTGTCAAGAAACTCACAGTGTACGAAGAGATAACTCATAATCCCTTCTACTCTTCTACAGGATGACTGTAATTTCCACTATACCATCTATTTGGGGTTTTTTGGTCGTAGTTCAGTACAGAGAAAAGCATCGATGGGACCGGACCAATGATGTCCTCTTGGGAATTCTTCAAAATTCTTCTTCTTCTTCTTCTTCTTCTTCTTCTTCTTCTTCTTCTTGTTCTTCTTCTTGCGTGCCAGAGGAATGGTGAGAAAAAACGTGTGAAACTAAAAAGAACACCCGTAGGCGCCCCTCATGCCCATCAGTACAGGAACTGGATAACATAGGAAAAGTGCAAATTGGAGATTCGATTGAGTTTGTCCAGGTGTCAACCTGGTAAAGGCAGCTTTCAAAATTGCTCCCTGTTGGCTGCATCTAGGATTTGAACCAGCTGCTCTCGAGAGCTACTAAAGTCAACTTTGCTATGACGGATATGGTTCCAAATCAAAGCCTAGGTGTTGTGAGTCCACTGTTTGCGTGGTCTGCCAACACATCTGAATAAAACTTCGATAGGAGAGGCCAAGTCGTTTTTGAAGCTTACCATTCTCACGGGGTGTTCATAATCTTGGCGAAGAATTCTACCAGCTAATGCAAGCCTTCGAGCCTTCAGGGTTTCTTGGATGGGTATGATTTTACTTCCACGGTCATGTCTGGAGATGTGGAGACTAGCTCTTCTGAAAACTTCTGCGTTGGTATTGGCACGCTTAGGCGATACGTGGGAGCCATGCCCAAAATCTTTCGTAAACCGTTTAATTGGAAGTCAATGCCAGGTACCATATACCAATCATACACCTATTGGTTGTACATGACCGGGGAAATAGTCAACGAACAAGTCGTGACCGAATCCACCCTGATCAAAGCACCAGACCCTTTTTGTAAGGAACCGATCGACGGCCGGTTTTCGCTGCGTCGATGGCCAGTCTTCGCTGCGAAGACATAGCATCGACTCGACTCGTCTTCACGTTCGGTGGAACTGCACCAAAACGAAGGCGTCTTGCTCTGGATTTTCCGCTTAACAGAGTCACGAGGTGCGGTGTGGCTCCGTTAGGCCTCTGATGCCTATCTGACCTACTGAAAAACCCATTCAGTGCCAGGTACCATACACGTATTGGTCACACATGACACGCGGTACCCCCTACCCAAAAGTATCAAACCAACGGCCGTTCGGAAAAGGCAGGCCCTCTTCGACCGGCCGGCCCAGCCTCACCTGGCGTCCCAAAGCCGCAACTTGCAGGCTTTCTGCGCCAGGCGCTCTGCCAGCCTGAGCCACAAAACTGCAAATTGCAAAGAAAGCCTCAGAGTCTGAGGGCAAATTGTTTGAGGTAGAACTGTTGATCAGCATGGAAAAATATTTGAGCGGTCTGGAGTCTAGGATGGTTGGTCCACGACCAAACGTAGCCGGGAGAAAGTACTAGGAAGCCTCTAGTCCGCAGGAAATCCACCACAGCGTGAGACAAGGATTTCTCATATTTTATATATATATATATGCATACTGCAATATATGTGTGTATACACTGTAATAATATTGTACATACATACGTTGACCGGAATGCATGAATGCCATCCTGCTCACGCGCTACTTCGCAGGGACCGCTCGCCCAAAGGGAAAAGGGGCGTCTCGCGTGCCCACTCGTGTCGATAGGATTCGACCCTCTTGTTTTGACATTGGTAGCGGAGCCCCGGCTGTCAGGGGGCTCCGAGTAGGTAGGATCCACTCGGTAGTGGCATGAATGCCATGAGCTCATCCTCGGAATCCACTGGCCTGCGTACCTTTTCAGGTGACACTGAAGACGCCAAGGAGTATCGTCGTTGGCGAACATGGGTGACCAACAAGATCCTCACGCTGGGCGACAAAATGCCTGACAATGCAAAAGGTGCCTATGTTTACACACTGTTGGCTGGGAAAGTTGTAGAATGTGTGGAACATTTAGAAGCATCTGCGTATCAAAAGGCTGGAGGCGAAAAGGTCATCTTTGAACTGCTGGACCAGAGGTTTCCACAGAAAGATCAATCGGACGAGATGTCCGAGATCTTGACAGAAGTTTTCCAACTCCGTGCGCATGAAGGAGAGACACTCAAGGCCTGGGTCTCCCGAGCAACGGAGTTGTTTGATAGAGTGCACCGCAAGGTGAACGTTTCATTTCCTGAAGAAGCCCGTGGCTGGCTGATCTTGCATCGAGCTGGATTGACGGAGGAGCAAAAGGCTGTGATTCTATCTCGCTCTCTTGGAGTGCTCAAGCGAGAAGAAATTGGTCGTGCTATGCGCTCCTGCTATCCTGAGCTGGTTGTCGGAAAGAAACGAACTTCACCTGCAGTGGCCCTCGTAGAAGAAGAAGCCGCACCAGAATGGGACGATGCCGATTCAACGATTGCTGAAGTGGAACTTTTCCTAGCAGAGCATCAAGCTGAATCTACCCAAGAGCCCGACGAGATCTTCGAGGAAATTGAGGTTGGCAGAGCTTTGGGTAGTTGCTTTTTTTTGCAGGAAGCCAATACTGCCACATACTGCGCTTGCACATGGCTGCCGACAAGCTGGCAACGAGACGGGCGCCGTCACTCCTGTTTTCGTACATTATGCGAGTTCATGTGCAATGAACTGCCATCAAGATCGACGGGGTCAAGCAGTTGTTTCTTTTCATGAGTGGTGGGGTGTTGTGAGCTTTTCTTCACTCCCGTGGCTCATTCATTGCGCGCAGTAGAAATCATTGTGAAGACATGACCCCAGAGCAAGTCAATCTCGTGCTCCTCCGCCTTCTCTATGCTGAGTGTCCCACTGAGACTTGGGCGTAGAACACAGTGAAGTGCTGTGTGTTCAGTTAAACCTGCCTGGCCAGCCACCCCAGCGCTCTTCAATTTTGAGAAGAGTATTCCGGACCTTGACATCTTGGAGCTGTTTGGGTTGGTAGAATTGCGAAGCTTGGTACCTGAGCAGGCCTAAGCACAAGAGCTTGTGACATAAAGTATGGCCAGGTTCCGGAGCGTTCCTGATATTTTCGATGGAAGAAAGGCACTGGCACTACCACAAAGGTCCTCCATCAAGTCCTTTCAACCCATGCCATCCTCAATACCCTTCCACAAAACGACCCCAGCCTTGAAGGTCTTCTTGCCTTCTGTATCCGCCAAAGCCAATGGGGCTCCTTTCTTGCCCGGTGCTGGCGCGTCACGTCGTGGTGTGTGTGTGTGTGGCGTTTGGTCGACTTCAAGGCAATGGGGGGAATGGATTGGACAACCCTCCCTGTCGGGATCCATCGTTTCAATGTGCGATCATGCCGCAAGTCATGACATCTGATGTATATCTGACGCTGTACATCCAAAGAAACAAATGCTCATGTACTGCAGACACATTCCCATTTCCTAGGGCTCCAGTAAACAACCCCAGCCTTGAAGGTCTTCCTGCCTTCTGTGCTGTTGATCTTGGCAGTGCGGTTCTTCAACCGATCCGCCAAAGCCAATGGGGCTCCTTTCTTGCCCGGTGCAGGCGCGTCATGTCGTGGTGTGTGTGTGGCGTTTGGTCGACTTCAAGGCAATGGGGGGAATGGATTGGACAACCCTCCTGTCGGGATCCATCGTTCCAGCTACTACCAATCAAAATCCTGCACACTCCAGCAGCGGTGTAAATCCTTGAAGTCATGTTGTTTGAAGCACTGATGGCAGGGAAGTAAACATTTCCCCATGGAACCAGAAGATCTCGACCATGTGTGTGCTGCTTGCAAGCCTCAATGTCCCTTCTTATGGGGAATGTGTTGTTTAGGTTCTTTCAACACCCAACGCACTCCATCAGCCGCTTCACGTCCTCGCGGTCTGAGCGAAGTCCTCACCGACCGTGCGGTGGCGGATTCCGCAGGAATGCTCTTTGTGACGCGTTTGGAGGCGGAGCGAGGAGAAGATGACGATGTCTAGAGTGTCATGAGTCGCCAAAGCTCCAGTCGTACCTTCGTTTCGATAAGGTGGGACTGGAGCGGGTGCGTTCGGATGGTCCCAACTTTTTTGTTCGGAGGAGGTACGGCTGGAGCCCTATAGGAATTGGGAATGTGTTTGCAGTACATGAGCCTTCGTTTCTTTGGATGTACAGCATCAGATATACATTGGAACCTGTAGCTGTGCTAGAAACATGCAACTTGCTTTGCCAGGAGTGCGCTGTTGCTCCTTTTGGCGGCTTGGACTCCGTGTTCATGGTGGAGAACCCTGCTCATTCAACGATCTGCGAGCACCCGCGCCTGAGGTGGGTGTTCGCGAAGCTCCGAGCCCACGTTCGCCCGGAAAGTGCGTGTTTTGCAGCGGTTGAAGTCTTTGAGGCTTCTCAGGCTGGTCTTGACTCATATGCTATGTTCCATCCCAGGGTTTGATGTGCCATCTTGCAGTCAATTAACATAAATTGGTATATTCTCGAGTATCATTCGTTTGCGATGCTGAATGTTGAGTATCCAAGATGCATGTATTTATGTAACAGTGTTTGGTTGGTGGCTGCAATCGACTTTGCAGTTCTTCTGGTTACCACTGATGACAGATGAGCAGGCTAATGGCGACGTGTTGACGTCGGAATAACAAATGTTGAGAAAAATGCTCGGCAACTTTGCGCAATCTTTCATCTATTTGCACACCCCAAAAGGACTAGGTGACGGTGGTGAAGGACCTGAAGGGGTGGATTCGAGCGGGTATGAAGCAATGGAAGCTAAGAACACTGAGAAAATGCGAAAGGAAGCCGGTTTACCCGAACTACCAGATGACTATGCTCCAAGTTCATGCGCAAAGAAAGTCTTGTACCATGACGAAAGTGCAGTTCAATTTTTGTGTTCCGCACTCTGCTTCTGCATCCCTATTTTCTCCTGCCTCCATCGGTCAAGTCAGGTCTTGCTTGGAGAAAAGGGTTGGCAACCTCAGAAAAGTGCGGGTGAGTTCAAGGCAGTTTCCATCTAAACTTCAATCGAAGCCTGGGGCCTACCATCACCAACTATTGTTTTTTGACTTGGTGGTACTGGATGTTGTCCAGATCCCAGCACCAACATGAGTTGCAGTCAAGTTCATAGACACATGGCGGAACTACATAAAACATCAGGGTGGTCACCAAGATCGAGGAAATGATCTCTACGTTGGAGAGATACCACTCTTCCATCAGCAAAGGTCATTGATGGCTTGAGTCGCAAGCACGAACCTCAATTCAATGTGTTTTTGAAAGTGTGCCCCAACTGGGTTTCCATCAAACAATTAGTACCTCTTAGGGTGGAGAAACAGCTGAAGGGCATGTATGGGGAAGCTCGGCGCACGCCAAAACCTCAGCAGCCCAATGGGTTAGACAAAAAATGATGGCTCCTGATTTTAGCTCCCGATCTTCTGAAAGTCTGTGGGCTTTGACAGCTGTATCCTTGGAGGGTCGTATGAGGCCAAGCTGCATGAGCTTTGAAGCTTTCCTATCGCAATATATCTTTAGACTCCAAATCCAGACTTCAGTGTAGCTATCCCTGAAATGTGTTTCACACCAGGCCCTGGTATTTTCCCAGACTTTCTGTCAGGCAGCTCCAGCCCAAAGTGAAGAAGACGGAGGAGAAGAACTCCAAAACCAGCTGCCCCACCACTGAAGTCGCTGTCGGTGCCCTGGAGTGCACCAGCAGTGACCTTTGAGTTGCGGAGGGGGCGAGAAGCTGGTCGGCCAAAAGGTTTCCGGCCCAGTTGAATCCTTTAGCCAGATGCGTGGCATCTTTACTGTATAATCTGATGTTAACCCTCAATTTTAGCCAACGCAGCCCCCCAAAAAAAATTGAAATACAACATCCTGGTGGCAATTCTGACGCAGCGCGATTGGGTTATCGAAACTTATGACGAATCCGGTTGCGATGGTCCGCATCACGGTTTGTAGTTTTACATAAAAATACTGAAGAATGCGCGCGCAATAACAGTTGCATTGTTATTGTCAATTGGTGGGCGCGGGTAACCCTTCGTGGGCGTGTGGAACCATGTTTAAGACATGGTACTTAAAACAAGCGTGCTCACTGACGAGCTTTCTCAAACAAAAGGCACAAGCATTGACCGCGTACCTTTCCCCTTTCCTTTCGTCCTCTTCTTTTCTTTTGCGCTCCTTCTCCCTCGTTCGTCTTGCCCGTCTTCCCATAGTTGTCTGTCTAGTCTTGTCTTGTTGCCTTCTCACTGCTGTTCTTTTCTTCCTTGCCCTGGCGCGCCTGGTGAGTTGGGGGTCCGGCGTGTGAGCGCGTCTACTGCCTGCGCGGCGCCAGTGCTATGTCGCGGCCCGCACTCGGGGGCACGTTT